CTTTAAAATAACTTGTTATATCTATTATAAGATGTCTCTGTAAGCCTCACAACACAAAACTTGGTAACCACAACACAAAAACTTGTGACATAAAATCTTGTAACTGACTCATTAAAAAGAAATAGCAACAAATTAGCAGCATGTTACCAGAGAAAATCACTTACCCACAAAGGAAGGCACTAAGAAAGAAACCAGAAAACAAGCAAAAGAATGGTAGTAGTAATGCCTTACTTAATAATAACACTGAATGTAAATGGTCTCAATTATTGAACTAAAAGGCACAGAGTGGCTGAATGAATAAAGAAACAAGACCACATTATATGCTGCCTTCAAGAAATCTACTTCACCTATAGAGACACACATAGATTGAAAGTGAAAGGGTGAGAAAAGATATTCCATGTATCTGGAAACCAAAACAGCAGGAGTAGCTATACTTACATGAGAAAGTAGACAATCAGTTTAAGATTATAAAAAGAGACAGAGAAGAACACTTTACAATGATAAAGGGCTCAATTAAGCAAGCATATGTAAGAATTATAAATATCTATGTAGCCAACACTGGATATCTTCAAGTCTATAAAGAAAATATTAATAGACCTAAAAAGTAGACTGTAATACAATAAAAGAAGGAGACCCCACTCCAGTAATGGACAGATCATTCAGACAGAAAATCAACAATGAAACAGCAGAGTCAAACTACACATTAGATCCAATAAGCCTAACTGATATTTAGAAAACATTTTATCCAACGTTGCAGGATACATTTTCTTTACCAGCACATGCAACAGTCTCCAGAAGAGACCATATTTTAGGTCATAAAACAAATCTGAACAAAATTTTTAAAGTAAAAATATATAAAATATTGTTTATGACAACAAGAAACTAAAATTGGTACTTATTAAGAAGAACTAGGGAAAATACATAAACGCATAGAAGTTAAAACATCCTCCTGAGTGATCAATGGGTCAATGAGGAAATTAAGAAAGACATTTTAAAACGTCTTGAAACAAATAAAAATGGAAAAATGGAAATGCAATATAGAGGCCAGGTGTGGTGGCTCATGCCTGTAATCTCAGTACTTCGGGAGGCCGAAGGGAGCAGATCACTTGAGGTCAGAAGTTCAAGACCAGCCTGACCAACATGGTGAAATTCCGTCTCTACTAAACATGCAAAAATTAGGTGGGAGTGGTGGCAGGTGCCTGTAATTCCAGCTACTCAGGAGGCTGAGGCAGGAGAATCACTTGAACCTGGGAGGTGGAGGTTGCAGTGAGCCAAGATTGCACTACTACACTCCAGCCTAGGCAAGAGAGCAAGACTCCATCTCAAAAAAAAAAAAAAAAAAAGCAATATACCAAAATCTGTGGGATACAGCAAAAGCAGTACTAAGAGGCAAATGAAAGAAAAATGAAAGGCTTCAAATAAACAACTAATGATATACCTCAAGGAACTAGAAGCAAGAACAAACCAAGCCAAAAATAGTAGAAGAAAAGAAATAATAAAAATCAGAGCAGGTCGGGCGCGGTGGCTCAAGCCTGTAATCCCAGCACTTTGGGAGGCCGAGGCGGGTGGATCACGAGGTCGAGAGATCGAGACCATCCTGGTCAACATGGTGAAACCCCGTCTCTACTAAAAATACAAAAAATTAGCTGGGCGTGGTGGCGCGCGCCTGTAATCCCAGCTACTCAGGAGGCTGAGGCAGGAGAATTGCCTGAACCCAGGAGGCGGAGGTTGCGGTGAGCCGAGATCGCGCCATTGCACTCCAGCCTGGGTAACAAGAGCGAAACTCCGTCTCAAAAAAAAAAAAAAAAAAAAAAAAAATCAGAGCAGAAACTAATGAAATTGAAGCTAAAAAATACAGATCAATGGAACAAAACATTGACTTTCAAAAATGTAAACAAAAACCAACAAGTTGTGAGCTTGACTAAGAAAAAAGAGAGAAGACTTAAATAAAATCAAAAACAAAGAAAGGACACGTAACAACTGAGACCTCAGACACACAAAAAATCATTAGAGACTTATGTGAACAATTATACACCAACAAATTGGAAAACCTAGAAGAAATGGATAAATTTGTGCAAACAGACAACCTCCAAGATTGAATCATGAAGAAATAAAAAACCTCAACAAACCAACAACAAGTAACAAAATTAAAGCTGTAATAAGAAGCCTCCACACACCCACACACACGAAAAGCCCAGGACTTGACAGCTTCACTGCTGAATTCTACAAAACATTTAAAGAATTAATACCAATTGTACTCAAGCTCTTCAAAAAACCTGAAGAGGAGGACATACTTCCAAACTCATTTACAAGGTCAGCATTACCCTGATACTAAAACCAGATAAAGACACAACAAGAAAAGAAAACTACAGGCCAATATCCCTGACAAACATAGATGTGAAAATCCTCCACAAAATACTAGCAAACAGAATTCAACAACACATTAAAAAGATCATTTACAATAATCAAATGGGATTCATTTCAGGGATGCAAGAATAGTTCAACATAGACAAATCAATAAACATGATATATAATATTAACAGAATCAAGAACAAAAACCACATATTTCAATAGATACTGAAAAGCATTTTATAAAATTCAACATCCTTTATTACTAAAAAAAACCATCATCAAAATGGGTATAGAAGAAACATACTTCAAAATAATAAAGACCATATATGACAAATCCAAAGCTACCATCATACTGAACAGGGAAAAAAAAATGAAGGCCTCTAAAGACTGGAACAAGACAAGGATGCCCACTCTCCTTGAATAAGTAAACTATTATTCAACATATTACTTCCAGTCCTGGCTAGAGCAATTAGGCAAGAGAAAGAAATAAAGGGCATCCAAATTGGAAAAGAAGAAGTCAAATTTGCCTTATTTGCAAACAACATGATCTTATACCTAGAAAAGGCAAAAGAGCTCACCAAAAAATTGTTAGAGCTGATCACCAAATTCAGTAAAGTTGCAAGTTGCAAAATGAACATACAAAAATCAGTAGCATTTATATACACCAACAGAGAACAATCTGAAAATAGAAATCAAGAAAGCAATCCCATTTGTAATATCTACAAAAATATAAAATCCCTAGGACTTAATCTAACTGAAGAATTGAAAGATCTATAAAAAGAAAACTATGAAATATGAAAGAAATGAAAGACACAAAAAATGGGAAGATATTTCATGCTTATGGATCAGAAAAATTAATACTGTTAAATGACAACACTATCCAAAGTAGTTTACAGATTCAATGCAATCCCTATCAAAATTTCAACATTCTTCAAATAAATAGGAAAAAAATCTTAAAATTTATATGAAGCCACAAAAGACCACAAATAGCCAAAGCAATCCTGAGCCAAAGGAATTGAGGTATCACACTTTCTGCCTTCAAAATTTACTACACATCTGTAATAACCCATAAAAATAGATACATAGACCAACGGAACGGACTAGAGAAACCAAACATAAATCCATGCATTTACAGCCAATTCATCTTTGACAAAGATGCCAAGAGCATACAAAGGTGAAAGAACAGTCTTTTCAATAAGTGGTACTGGGATAACTGGATAGTTATGCAGAAGAATGAAACTAGACCCCTATCTCTCACCATAACAAAAATCAAATCAAAATGGATTAAAGACTTAAATCTAAGACCTCAAACTATGAAACTACTAAAAGAAAACTTTAGGGAAACAGTCCAGGACATTGGTCTGGGCAAAGTCTTTTTGTTTAGGATCTCAAAATAATAGACAACCAAAGCAAAGTAGACCAATGGTATTACCTCAAGCTAACAAGCTTCTACACAGCAAAAGAACCAATCAACAAAGTGAAGAAACAACTGTTAGAATGGGAGAAAATATTTGGATACTATCCATCTGACAAAGAGTTTGTAACTAATATATAAAGAGCTCAAATAACTCAATAGCAAAACTTCCCAAATAATCCGATTTTAAAATGGGCAAAATCCAACCCCACTAGAGACAAGAGAAAAAATAAGAAAATTAAAAATGGGCAAAAGATCTGAACACATATTTCTCAAAAGAGGATATACAAATGTCCAATAGGTATATGAAAAAAAAAATGCTCAACACCACTAGTCATCAGAGAAACACAAACCAAAACCGCAATGAGATATCATCTCACCTCAGTAAAAATGGCTTGTATCGGCCGGGCGCGGTGGCTCAGCCTGTAATCCCAGCACTTTGGGAGGCCGAGGTGGGTGGATCACAAGGTCGAGAGATCGAGACCATCCTGGTCAACATAGTGAAACCCCGTCTCTACTAAAAATACAAAAAACTAGCTGGGCGTGGTGGCGCGTGCCTGTAATCCCAGCTACTTAGGAGGCTGAGGCAGGAGAATTGCCTGAGCCCAGGAGGCGGAGGTTGCGGTGAGCCAAGATCGCGCCATTGCACTCCAGCCTGGGTAACGAGAGCGAAACTCCGTCTCAAAAAAAAAAAAAAAAAAAAAAAAAAGGCTTGTATCAAAAGGACAATCAATAAAAGATGCTGGTGAGAATGTGGAGAAAAGAGACTCTTGTACACTGCTGGTAGAAATGCAAATTAGCGCAGCCACTACGGAGAACAGTATGGAGGTTCCTCAGAAAACTAAAAATAGAATCACCAAACAATTCAGCACTTCTACTACCAGGTATATAGCCATAAGAACAAAAATCAATGCATCGAAGGGACATCTGTACTCCCATGTTTACTGCAGCAATGTTCACAATAGCCAAAATATGGAATTACCCTAAGTGTTCATCAACAGATGAATGAATAAAGAATATATGGTATATATATACATACATATATATATATATATATATATATATATATATATATATGCAATGAAATATTCAGTGATTAAAAAAATAATGAAATCTTGTCATTTGTGGCAACACAGCTGAAACTGAAGGCCACTATGTTAAAAGAAATAAGTCAGGCACAGTGAAACGTTGCATGATCTCACTCCCAGGTGGGAACTACAAAAGTGGATCTTTGATCCTTTTGCAGCTCATAAGCATGATTGGGTTTTCATGCTCTTGTGAGAGGTGTCTCCCTAAAGCATTGTTACAACGTCAGCACATTACCCATCTGATGTGGAAAAAAAGTGAGCCTCATGAAGATAGACAGTAGAATGGCAGTTATCAGAGGCCAGGAAATGTGGGGCAGGGGGCAATGAAGGGGAAGAAAAGGAATATAAATGTATTTATTACCACTGAACTGTACACTTTAAAATGGTAAAGATGGTGAATTTTATATGTATATTTTAATCTCAATTTTTTAAAGTGTAAAAAATAGGAGAAAATTGATGTGGAATATATAGAAACTCTGTACCATCTTCACAAGTTTTCTGTAAATCTAAAATGATTCCAAAATTGAAATTTTATTTTTAAGAAAATAATTTTTATAAATTTCTACATCTGGTTAATCTTGGGGTTCATTCTGCTAATGTGACTATTGTGATTCTAGGGATTGAAGCAACAGCTCCTGCCTGAGATTTTCCACTGGGAAATTCCTCCTGGCCAGCCCTACTGTTTTCAGACTAGCCTAGCCAGCCCCCACAATCATATATGCCGATAAACCTCTTTAATGACTTACTGATTCTGTTTCTCTGGTAAAATCTTGACTAATGCAGAGGTTTAATCCAGTTCCTCTCACTCCATCATGGCTAAATGACAAAATTTATGATATGATTTTAAGTTTTTCAGAATTTCTCTCTGACCTCAAATGTCTCCCTTACTGCTGTTCAGAGTGCTTCTAATTTTACCATTAAGTAATACTTTCTTTGAATCTTCTGGTATTTGAATATCCTACCTAGGAGAAAAAGATGCTACTATGAGAAGTTTCACGATTAGGAATATGTGCTCTGAAGAGAAGGCCAAGAGTATAGCTTGATGATATTCTGTTGAAGACATCAGGCATGCATTTCATGGATCCACTGGACCAACAGAAGCCAGGAATAGAGACAGGGAAATCCAAGAAAAATCTGTGGATTGTCCTCTTGTCTGATGGCATGGATCCCCATGACATACAGAGGAGATACACAAGGTTTTTGAGAATGTAGTATCTGCAGAACCTGCCATCTTGGACTGACAGGCACAAAGACATGATTTAAAAAAAAAAAGGAGGAGGAGGCTACTGGACTTGCAAAATTCTACAAGCAGGAAACAGGCTGATAGAGCTACCTAGGTGGAATCCTGTGCTACCCTTCAATAAAATGTATGAATGACTCCAAGGGCAGGGATGTGGGCTTAAAGGTCCAAGCAGGACCAAGGCAGGAGTGGGCAGAGCCGCAGGCCCAGAAAATGAAGCTGCAGTCCAGGAGGGCAGTGCCTCAAGCCAGATAGGAGACTCCAGCCTTGAAACACAAAATGGGATTTGCCCTGCTAGATTTTTAACATGTTTGAAACCAGTGACTCCTTTATTCTTTCCCATTTTCCCTTTTGAAATGTCTATCCTATGCATGTCCCATTACTGTATTTTGGCAGGAGGTAACTTTTATTGTAGTTTCATAGCTTCACAGAGGCACAGGAATTTTGCCCCAGGATGAATTCCAGAGTCTCAACCACACCAGAGTCAGATGGTTGAGATGATGAAATTGGACCTTTGAGCTGATAATACATATTTTTTAATTTTGGACTTAAGAGTTGATGCTGTAATGGGTTGTGACTTTTGAGGAGGCTGGTAGGGGAAAAAGGTAATACTTAGCATATGGCATGAACATGAATTCTGGGGGACAGAAGAGGGGAATATAGAGAAGTGAATTATAGCCCCCAAAAGATGTCCACATCCCTTAAAAGACCAAAGAGTTACTCTCTGGAAAAATCGGTGATTAAGTTATAGATCCTGAGAGAAGGGGCTTATCCTGGGTTATCCAGGTTGGTACTTAAAACAAGCACATGTATCTTGATAAGAAATACAGAAGATGAGCAGACTCAGAAATGAGGAAGATGCAATACAATGAGAGAGACAGGGATTCAGTGATGTGGCTATAACTCAAGAATGCTAAAGGCCACCAGAGGCTAGAAAAGGCAAAGAACAAATTCTTCCTCAGGATTTCCAAAGGAAGCTCAGCCTTGCTTACATTTTGATTATAGATTTTTGGCCTGCAAAACTGTAAGAGAATACATTTTCGATATTGTAGGCTCCCAAGTTCATGGCAATTTGTTATGGTAACCACAGGATAAAAACCATTGAGTAATTTGGGACATCATGAATTTTATAATGTGAACAATCTGCCCAGGATTGACATTGCTGGATTCTATGGTAAGTACATATTAATATTTTAAGAAAATGCAAAATTATTTCCCAGAGAAGCTGTACCATTTTATTTATTTATTTACTTATTCATTCACTCACTCATTTTTGAGATGGGGTTTCACTCTCATTGCCCAGGCTAGAGTGCAATGGCACAATCTCAGCTCACCACCATCTCCACTTCCCGGGTTCGAATGATTCTTCTGCCTCAGCCTTCCCAGTAGCTGGGATTACAGGCATGCGCCATCATGCCCAGATAATTTTGTATTTTTAGTAGAGACAGGGCTTCTCCATGTTGGTCAGGCTGGTCTCAAACTCCTGACCTCAGCTGATCTACCCGCCTTGACTTCCCAAAGTGCTGGAATTACAGGTGTGAGCCACCACGCCCGGTCTAGCTGTACCGTATTGTGTACAGCAAAGCATGAAATACGAGAAATTTAGTTTCTCTACTCACTGACTGTGGGAAGTTCTTTAAAAGTATTGTGGACATAAGACATGTGACTTATGTCTTTTCATTCTCATAATGGTTTTCTTCAAAGAGCAGATGTGTTTCATTTTGATGAAATACAGTTTATCAACTTTTTAATGGATTTTGCAATAGAAAATTTTGCAAAACAAAATTTTTTTTTGAGACAGGGTCTTGCTCTGTTTCCCGTGTTATAGTGCAGTGGTGTGATCATCACTCACTGCAACCTTTACCTCCCCAAGCTCAAGTGATCTTCCCACCTCAGCCTCCCAAGGAGCTGGGACTACAGACACGTAACAGCAGGCCCAACTAATTTTTTTTTTTTTTTTTTTTTTTTTGCTTTTGTAGAGACAGAGTCTCCCTATGTTGCCCAGTCTGGTCTTGAACCCCTGGGCTCAAGTGATCCTCCCACCTCAGTCTCCCAAAGTACTGGAATTACAACTGTGTTAGACCTTAATGTCACATTTTAAAAGTCTGTGCCTCACCCAAGTCACAAAGATTTTTTTGGTTCTCTTTTAATAACTTTATAGTTATAGGTTCTACATTTAAGTCTGTAATCTAATTTGAGTAAATTTGTTTTATACATCTTTGCACTGTTGTCAAATATAAATTGTCTCCATATGTGTGGAAAAGGTCACAGGATTCCTATCGATTATTACAGTTTTCAGAAGTCTTAATATAGGTAGTGACATTCCTCCAACTTTTTCATTTTTAAAATTATTTTGCTCACAAGTCCTATGCATTTTCATGTGAGTTTTAGAATTATCTTGTTAATGTCTACCAAAAAAAAAAAAAAAAAAAAAAAAAAAACAACCCTGCTGGGATTTTTATGCAGATTACACTGAGTCTATGGATAAATTTGGACAGAACTGACATTTTAATGATGGTAAGTATTCTAGCATAAGAAAATGGCTTAATTCTCCATTTATTTACATCTTTATCTACTCTCAGCAATATTTTCTAGCTTTCAGAGTACAAGTCTTGCTTACCGAATATCAATAGCATGTATTTTTGGATATTCTAAAATGATCAATTCATTGCTGTTAGTACACAGAAGTCCAAATGATTTTGGTATATTGATCTTATATCCTGTAACCTTGTTAAAATCATTTATTAGTTCTTTTTTTTAAAATAAAATCCTTTAGTTTTTCAACATAGACAATCATGTCATCTTTGAATAGTTTTACTCTTGCCTTTCTGGTCTGATGGTAGTTCTTTGTTCTCATGTCTTCTCTGCAGATCTCTGGAATTCTCTCTCTGCAGCTCCCATATCTTTGGTCCACTGTATTGAGAATCTATGATCTTGGCCTCCTGGGACTCTTAGCAATATCTCATCAATTCAGAGAGGCTACCAAGCTCCAATAGGGTTCCCCCTTCCTGCACCATGACTGGAAACTCAAGGCAGTAAGCTGGGGAAACCATAGGCATCCTCTCTCTCATTTGTTCTCCATCTCTCAGGGATGGCCATCTTTCAACGACTAATGTACAGTAACTAGGAAACCACTATTTGGTGTTTAGTTGTTTCAGGGAGGAGAGTTAATCCAGGTCTTAACTTATATTGGCCAAAAGTAGAGGCCCTAATATTAACTCTTTATTTGGCATTTACTGTGCCAGTGCTTTGCTAAGCATTTTACATATAATATTTCTGATATTTCCTCAAAACTCTGAAATCAGTATTGGCCCCATTTTACAAAAGAGTAACTTGAAGATTAGAGAAAGTACTTAGCCTGTCCTTAGTTATATAATTACTAATCAGCATCCAAGTACATAAGCAAGCTGGGAAAATAGGAATGAGGAGTGACTGCTAATGGATAAAGGGGTTATTTTAAGGATTACAAAATTGTTCGAAATTAGATATTAGTGATGATGTGCAAACTCTAAGCACATAACAAAAACCACTGAATTGCACTTTTAAAAATAAATTTTATAGTATGTAAATTTTTTCTCAATAAAAATGATGTTTTGGGGGGAAAAAATGAAGAAAATTACATGACTATAGGGCCACGCATAGGGTTGCTAAATTCACAAAAAAAAATTACAGAAAGCCCAGCTAAATTTGAGTATTAGTATAAGCATAACTAGGCAATATTTGGAACATCCTCACACTATTTGCATTTATCTAAAATGATCCTCAAATAGTTATCAGTTAATAATATTGAATAGCTAGATTGTTTTCCCCTTGACAATTGAAGATACTAATCATATTTTGCAGTATTATTCTAGTATGGCAAAATTAACACTTTTCTGATTTACAGTTGTTTCAAAAGCAAGTTTGCCATTACCAAAATTAGTATACTAAGTACAAAAATGACCTGGGTCTGCTTAAGAAAGTACGTTAACAAAATACATGTAAGGTTTATATTTACTGTTGAAA